GACAAGTTCTCCTTCTACCGCCATCACGTGAACCTCAAGTCCTGGTGGGTGGGCGACATCCCCGTGTCGGGCGCGCTGCTCACCGACTGGAGCCAGGACACTATGAAAGAGCTGCATCTGGCCATCCCCGCGGAAATCAGTGAGGGCCGAGCGGCCACGCAGGACCGACCTTACATCCCATTGTCCCGGCCCACAGAATCCTGGCCCCACGACCTCCGAGCCTCCTTGCCCATTAAACCAGGGCCCAGACTGCAGAACCCAGGCCGCCTCTCTAGCCCCTATCCCCCAGATGGCATAACCCTTGCCCCGCCCCTTGATTTCGAACCCCAGTTCGTTACCCTGGACCCTGGAGCTCCGATTCCCAGCCCCCGCACCTCGCCCCACTCCAGCCCTACGTCCCCAGTTCCCCACCCCCTAGGCTCCAGACCTCAGAACCGGGGAAGGGGGGCTCCCAGACACTAGGCTGCTTGCCCAGGGCCTTCCATTCCCGCCCCCAGCCCAGGAGAAGCTCGAGGAGGTGGCCAACACAGTGTATCAGAGGATGGATCAGCTGTACCAGGGGAGGATGTATTTCCCGGGTAAGGGGGAAAACCAGGCAGGGCTCAGCCCCTGGAACAGCCCACCCCAAACTACCCCCACAGACTCACGTGCACATTGCCAGAAGCCCACCCGCCTCCTCTGCCTCACCCACCAGGGTACTTCCCCAATGAGCTCCGAGCCATCTTCCGGGACCAAGTGCACCTCATCCAGAACGCCATCATTGAGAGTGAGCAATAGGGGAGGGTGGCGAGTAAAGGGGGTGGCGGTACCTCAGCAGGGGTGGGGCCCTCAGGTGCACCTCACTCGGGACACATCACTGAAAGTGACCAGCAGGGTCCAAGACACGTGTGTCGCTCAGGGCTGAACCCTTTGGAGCTGGTGCAGGATACTGAGCCACAGGCCCTGGTAGTTGGGATAGCTCGGGGGTGGGGGTGGGGAGGGACAAGTGGAGGAAGGAGTGGGGAACAGCAGTCTCCAATAAACACCACCTCCTCCTCCCTGGCACCTGGAGGGCTGAGAAGCCCAGGCCAGGGGCACCACCCCTGCCCCCTGGGGGACCAGCACCCACCCTCCCTGACCTCTTGTCCCCCACAGGCCGCATCGACTGCCAGCGACACTGCGGTAAGTGGCAGTTCTGCGCAGGTGGGCAGGTAGCTGCAGCAGGCCTGGTCCAGGAGACTGGCCACTTGTCTGTGTTGCAGGTATCTTCCGGTATGAGACCATCTCCTGCAACAACTGCACCAACTCACATGTGGTCTGCTTCGGCTACAACTGCGAGTAGGGCTTTCGGGCCTGGGCTGGGTGCTCCCTTGGGTGCATAGGGTCCCCCACTCAGCCCATGCCTCTCTCTGCAGATCGTCGGCGCAGTGGGAGCAAGCTGTGCAGGGCCTCCTTGGGTACATGTGAGTCCGGTCCTGGGGTGGCTGCTGGGCTCAGAGAGGGGACACCAAAACAGCTATAGCCTGACCCAAGCCCCTCTGTTATTGCAGAAGTACGTGGCACAAGTAAGTCTCCTTCCCACAAATGGGACACGGTATCAGAGGTTATGTGTGGGCATGGCCTCTTGGGGTGAGTATGTGCTAGGCAGTCCCAGGGAGGAGCCATGGTGTGTGTGCGTGTGGGTGCTCCACCCCCTCTAGGGCCTCTGCCCTATACCCCTGTGGCTTTGCACCTCATGGCCTCCAGGCTCGGGCTAGGTCTTGAGCTCCGGCCCTGACTGGGCCCTTGTGTCTTTCAGACAGGACACCAACCACAGGTAAGGCTGCTGGCCTACCCTTTTGGCCTACCTTTTGGGGGAGGGCTCAGTGGGATGGTGGGGGTACCTGAGGGACACTGCCAGGAGGGAATTCTCTGCGCCCGGACATGCCTGATGCCACCTCTGCCTGATGCCACCCATGGGACCATTCTATAAACCAACCTTGCACTCCTCTCCACTTGGCCTGCTGGACAGACCCACCCCAGCTTTGTGAGTGACTCCCAACCCCAATGCATGCATTTACCAACAGCCCCCCAGCAAACTGCCCCCTCCCAACCACATGGGTGTCGATGGTGTCCTTGCAGCTTGATCTCACCGAGCTTCACGTGTCTGGAGCCACCACACCTGGCAAACCTGACGCTGGAGAATGCCTCCGAGTGTCTGACCCAGCACTGACCGCATGGCTCCCAGGGGCAGGGTGGGGCTCAGCAAGTCGGTCGGCTGGCTGGCCGGCCAGACCCTGGTGGAGCAGGCTCCTGGATGCCCCAGGGTCCCCATGCAACCTGGCTGGCACTTGGGCCAGGAGGTGGCTTTTGTATATAATAGTATTGGCTCCCCAGGATCCCAGCGCTGTGCTGGGTGATTAAACTGCCCTGTATTTCTGTCGAGACTCTAACCGCCCTGGTATTTTTGTTGAGGGTGTCTTGTCGATGTCAGCACGTCTGGGAGTGAGTCCCCCCTGGGCCAGTCAGCGCCGGGGTGGCTGATGGCCCCAGGGCCGAACTGCAGAATGAGTCTTGAATGTCTGGAACAGGGCTCTCCCTGAGCCGCACAGGCTTTGTGCCCTGGGGTTGGGAGTCTCTGGAATTTGCATGTCCCCCACCTCCCCAACTCATGACACAGGCCACAAAATAGTGGGTAGCAACAAGGGGTAGAGCTGAGCATTTTGAAGTTGAGTCTGTCCCTGTCCCATGCAGTCCATGTCCTGTGCTGGGCTCCAGGGGCCAGATTTATGTCCCCACCCCACCCCAGAGCACCTTTCAGAGCCCCACCCAAGGACACAGCAGTAACCTGGCCCACCCATGGTGGTGAGTGTGGCAGGGACTGGCCGTTGCTATGGACCAGGGCTCCCCCAAGGGGGCAGCAGCACATGGAGGAGCACACACGGGGGCTCAGGCAGGAGCCTTGAGGTGTAAACGTCTGTTTTGCAATTTTATTGGATCATCTTGACACAAAATCATTACAGCAGCGTGATATGTCTCTCCTGTATATGGGAATGTCGATAGCAAATAAATTCTTATGTAACACATCATACAATTTCAAAATTCTAGAATCACTGCACAGGATTCTGTAATAGATTATTCTACATGCTAAAGTGACAGTTTTCATCAGAAAGACGTTAAAATGCCATCGAGGACCAGCATTTCTGAGGGAGGCCTGTCTCCCCACCTCCCTCTTTGTGAGCTGGCCGGCCAGCCCAGAGGCCAAGGCCCCTCCTGCTCCGGAGGCGGTGTGCAGGGATCCAGCCACTGAGTGGGCTATGGCCCAGGGGAGGGGGCCCATGAGAAGTGCATCCCACTCAGCCATTGCCGGGGGCCCTCCCAACAGCTGCAGGTACAATTAGAGACAACCTTTCGGTGTGGACAGTGACAAGGTGGGGGGCACCCCACAATGAAGCAAACAAGACACACTGAACAGAAAAAAACAAAGAACAAGGGCCTGATTCTTGTCTCGGCAGTGATTCTGAGCAAAACGTCTGCCAATCTGCGAGGGCTTGCAGCCCACCCACAGGCGGCAGCCCTCATCCACCCTGACATCCATGCCCTCCACTGCAGCAGGACCCTCGGCCAGGGGACCCAGGGACCTGGCTAGCTGGCAGTGGGCGGACACCGAGGATCACAAGGAACAACAACCCACACAACTGTCCTCCCAGAATGGCGTTCTGGAGACAGGGTGGACGTGTCGACCATAGTGACCAACCCGGATGGTCCTCCACTACCAGACACCACTGGTCAAGATGTCTTAGACTCTGAGGACTTGGGTGTCTTTATGGACGACGTCAGCAAGGGCCCCTCCAGGGAGGGGAGTGGGGATGGGGAGGGCACCATCTACCGCCCCCTGGTGCCCAGAGCAGCAATCACTTCTGAGGCGGCCCTGACAGGATGCCACGCCAGTGTGGGGGAGGAAGTCCGCCCCCCCACCACCCGCACTGGCTGTACGAGCCCCTGAGTGGAAGCAGGGTTCTTGCTGGAAGAGAAGAATCCAAGTCAAAAGTAAGATAAACCAACACAACGTGTAACTTGGGGACGCCCACACACAGGCAGCAGAGGACTGAGAGGAAACACACAGCCAGACAGCATGTGCGGACAGCAGGGAGGTGGTGCCATCCACCGTCCCCCGAGGGCGGCGAGGCAGCAGCGCTCAGCACTGGGCCAGCGTCACCTTCATTTCATCCAGCAGGTTGCCCAGCAGGATTGGATCGCTGCACTTGCCGTCGACAGACACGGAATTCTCCCCCTGGGAAGGAGACAGCCATCAGTGCTGACAGAGAGCAAGCATCCAGCGGGATGGCCTGGCAGCTCCATCACGTGGAGGCTCCAGCACCCGCAGCCCGCCTGCCCCTGAGATGGAGCCATGAGAGGGACAGCGGCCACCAGACGACGCTGGAAAGCCAGGGGTCCAGTGGCATGGGGCCAGCAACAAGGACGAGGAATGCTGAAACTTGAGGGAGCAAGCGGGCCGGGAACGTAGAGGGGGATTAGAAGCTGCCCCAAGCTGACATGGAGTTTGCCACTTTCTCCCCAGCAGCCCTCCTGCTTTGGAAGGGGCCTTAGATGCAGAGCTGGCTGTGCCAGAGAAACCAGCCCCTGAAGTTGTCTAGAGGCCCTGGGTCCACCCCGGGCTGAGCACGAGAAGGCTCAGCCTGAGGACACACCAAAGATGCGGGGTGGGGAATTCACAGAGAACCCTTGGAAGCACACACAGGCTGGGCCCGGAACTGCTGGCGTCGCCGTCCCAAGAAGCCTGAACCTAACTGGGTAGATGGGCTGGTGGAACAAGCCAATGTCCTCCAGGGGATTCAAACAAGGCTTAAGGGTCTCGTGGCATTTAGAACATCCAGGACACGATCCAGGAAGACTCTACACGCATCCATGAAAGACCATCACCAGACCGGCTCCACAATGAGACGGAGGTTGGAATGACCTGGTAAGGGCTTTACAACAGCTGTTAGAAAATGCTCCAGCTAGCAACCAGGACCACTAGGAAAAGCGAAGGGCTCAGGCAGTCGGAAGAAGCGAATGGAAACGTCAGGACTGGGAACACCGCACTGACTGCACAGGCTGGGAGAGCAGATAGAGACATCACTCGAGTAAGCAGAGGATCGGGAGAGCGAGACAGACACCCCCCTCCCCCGCCCCCCTCAGTGAGGAGCACCTCAGAGACTTGCAAAGTGACTGGAATCCCAGCAAGAGAGAAGAAAGTCAAACAAACAAAACAGTCACACTTAACATGGAGCCCCAAACTTCCCAAATGTTCAGAAATGTAAGTGCAAAGACTCAAGATGCTTAACAAACTGCACACAGCACCAACCCACGGAGACCTTGGCCTGCTGGAAAGCAAAGGCACAGAGCATGGCTCAAGCAGCCAGCGGAGTGCTCGTTGTGGGGGAACTCAAGATGGGAGTGCGCACGCCCAACAAAAAGCTATCCGCAGTGGGTGGGTCAAGCCTCCTGATGACCTAAAAGATCCCCAGGTGTTTCAGGTTCTGTCCGATGTGGCAGCTGGAACCACATCTGAACCCAATGGATCTGGAATCCTGTATCTCGAGCAAGTGAGCAAGACTGTCTTCGCGCTGGAGGTTCACCGAGGCTGTGATCGATGGCTCCTACCTACACAAGCTACGGCCCAGGGGCACCTCCAGCGACAAGCACGAGGAAAGCTGAACCTTGAGGGACCTCGGAGTCAGTGACCCCGGTTCCTGGGCCACCGTACCAGACAAGGATGTGGAAGAGTACAGGGTGCCTGAAGCTGGAGTGTATCTGACCTGCTTCCCACTCTGCTCTAGCCTGACAAGTTGGAGGGGCACAATGAATTGGGGGTATTTCTCTTTGCCTTCTAATTCTGCAGTGAATCCTTGTTTTAAGACTGCTAAATAAATAAATAAGCCCGTTGAAAAACAAAAACAGCAGCCAGAGGTAAGCAACGCACCCCTTCCACGCCCCCAAAACGTAAGCAGGGCATACGGCCCCACAGACACCGCAGGTGGGTATGCAGAGACGGCTCACCTTCTTCAGCAGGAGGCACACGTGGTGGTCCTGGACAGAGCGGCTGTACATGGAGGCGCAGGAGTCCACTCGCTCCACAACTGCAACACACGGGTGGGTGGGTGAGGCCCCAGACACCGCAGACCCTCCCTGGGCAGCTGCCCACTACCAAGGAGGGGCAACACAAGGGCAGCAGGGGTGCCGGCCGTGAAGAGAGCTGGCGGGCACGAGTGTGGGCCGAGGCGACGAAACAAATGCTGTACCGGAAAAATGGTGGTGGAAACAGATCTTTGCTAGAAGGTTCTGGAAGGACATGGTGATGCCGTCCACCTTGATGGAGCTCATGCCCAGGTCCCCTGATTCCAGCAGCTTGGCAAAGGCATCACTGTGGAGAGGTCACAGGCAAGGGATGGAAGACAGGACTGCACAGGGGGAGGGGTGTATGACCAGGAGGCTGCATGGGCACGCCTCCCTGCTGGCAGCCCGGCTGGGACTGCCCCTCCCCAGCAAGTGGACGGCACGGCAGTGTGGCCTGACCTGGAGCAAGGGGTGGTGATCAGGTACGAGGTGCAGCTGAAGTGCAACTTGAAGTCAAGCTTCTCGTGGGTGGAGCCCTCGTCATTCTGCAAAGAAGTCAAGACAGCCATTCAGCAAAGGCCCCTCACCCCGGCCCCCCTAGTTACTGACCCCCAGGCCCCATCCCAGAGTGCAGCTCACCTTGACAATGAAGGACAGTGTGCCCTTGAGCTTCTGGGCCATAACGATGCTCTGCACGGTGAACACGAACCTCGCCTCATTGGAGACACCTGGGGTGGGGTACGGGGAGGGTAAGTTGAGGCCACCGTCCTCCTGGGCCAGCCAGGTGAAAAGAGGGGCACGCTCCGTACCTGGGGGCAGCTGGAAGGGCACGGGGACGCCGTCATGCACAGAGGTGCCCTCGGGCCGCGCCATCTTGGTGTTGAGCGAGTCCAGCACGTTGAGCTCCATGCTCTTAAGGAAGCTGCTGCTGAGGTTCTCCAGGATGAGGGACACGGTGACCTGGCTGTCCTTCTGCAGACTGCCCTGCACGTCGTATGTCTGCAGGCAGGGGAGCCGAGTGGGCAGGCGGGACCAGAGGGTGCATGCCGGCCCCAGGGACAAGACCAGGCTCGAATTTACTGCCGATTGAGGGCCTCGGGAGCTGGTCACATGGGTATGTCCTGCTCCACGGCCACAAGAACCAGAGTCCAGATTATGCTTCACATTCTCCCCTCACCTGCTGCCCAACACCCTGGACCCCCAAAGTGAGTGGCTGGGCTGGGGGAAAGCCCTCCCTCCCACGCTCTTCACGTGGGCTTGAAGCAGGGCCCGCCGGTGCTCACTCACCATCTTAATATAGGCATTTTCCGCGAGAAGGCAGTAGCTGGACATGGGCTACAGAGGGAGGAAGGGAGCCTCAGGGCTGGGGCCCGAAAGTGCTAGGGAAGCCTACTAGGAGCAGTTATCGGGAACACTGCTCCGACCTTGGGCCAGTGACACCCAGAGCCAGACCCCCCCATGCACCCAGTCAAAAGGGCAGGAAGCTAGCTTCGGAGTCTGGTTGATCTCTGACGCCCAACCCATGGGCACGCATGTGTGTGCCCCCATTTGTCCTGTGGAAGGCAGGGGCTGGGTTCTGTGCACACGTGCCCGTATTTGGCCTTATGTGTGGCTGTCCCTACAGGACAGGGAGCTGGAACTCAAGGGTTCTGCTCTCCTTGGCCCTCCCCCACCCCCATGTGCTCTTGTGTAGGGGTAGGCTGCAAGAAGCAGCTCCCTCACCGGGAGCGGGTCCCCCTCCAGGGAGCCGTTCTGCACAGGTTCCTCGGGCGGCTCCTCGCTGGGGGGCCACTTCCTCCGGGACTTCTTCTTCTCTTTGGTCTTCTCCTCCTTCTCCTTCTTGTGCTTCTTCTTCTTATGCTTGGAGGGCTTCTGAGCAGCAGGGAGCAGAGGGTCAGCCCTGTCTAGGGGTGGCGGCTGGGTGCCCACTAATGTGTCTGCTTAGGGCCTGGTGACGCCCCGGGTGCTCTCCCTGGGTCTGGGCCACCAGGCCAGGAAAGGGGAGTGGCACAGGCAGTGCCTGAGCCCAGGGACAGCAAGGGCAGGGGAGGCCAAGCACTTCGCTGGACACCCGCCACTCAGAAGAGTGGCCAGCACTGACTGGGGAAAACTGTGTGTGTGTGTGTGTGTGTGGGGACTGTCAAGACCTTCACCACACCTAGCAATTCCATTCTGGAGTCAGGCCTGGGAGAGGCGCAGGGAGGCCCAGAACCACCGCCACATCCATCCACAGGTTACACGCACGCACGCGGGTAGTGTGTGGAAAACATCGGAACGCCTCCCCACCCAGGAAAAGCAAGTTTCACGGACAGGTCCGAAGCCCCTGCCCGACTTCTGTGAGACAGACCCACCTCTGGGAAGTGGGGCAGGAGCGAGGAGGGCCTGCTAGGGGCTCAGGCTTGTCTTTGGGGTGAAGGAAAGCTCTGGAACTGGGTGGTGGCGGAGTGGCTGGCTCTGAAAGGGCACTGTGGCCGGGAGGTCTCTGTAAGGCCGTGCAGGAGATAGGCCCACCTGGTCCAGCTCATGCTCCTCTTCGTCCTCGTCCTCGGGCGCTGCCCTCCTGAGTTCCTGGCCCTCTTCCGTGGGAGCTGAGACTACTACCACGTCCACCTCAGGCTCACCCTGCCACATGCAGAGGATGGCATCACCTCCGGGCAGGCCTCACGCTGCGTCCGCTGGGGGAGCCATCCCCAAAGGCCCGGCCTCTCCCTTGGCCAACCCTGGATCCCCAGGGTGTCACCAGGGGCACAGGGCTCGGCAGGGTCAGAAAGGGGCTGAATGAGGTACGTGCTCTCCTCTACTGCCCTCACTAGAAGGGCCACCCCTCTGCCCCACACGTGCCTGGACGGCGCCTAGGGAATGCCCAGGGGACTGGCCCCAAGAGGACGGGGGAGGCCACCAAGGATATGCTTGCTCCAGGCCCTTACCAGGGATGGGGTGGGGTCTGGGGCAGCGGGCGGCGGCGGTGTGGTCGACAGCCAGAAGTCCAGGTCCTTGGCCTAGAATCAGAGGACAGCTCCCGTCAGGCAGCAGCCCTCTCGGGACTGTGCATGGCCCGTCCCCGCCCACCCTGCCTCCGGCCAGCCCCACCTTCTCCTTTTCCTTCCTCCGCTCCTTCTCGCGGTGCAGTTTCTTCTCCTTCTTCTTGGGCTTCTTGCTCTTCTTCTCCAGCACAGGGGCGGCCTCTTTGTCGGGGGATTGCGGGGTCTCTGCGTTTCGGTGTTTCTGGATGGGCAGCTTCTCGCTGTCAGCTAAGGGCCTGCGGAGGATAAGGGGAGGTTCACTCGACACCTGCTTGTCTCCAGAATTAGCAGGGCACGGGTGCCGTGCACGCCGGGGAGCCATGCCAGGCCAGTGCTCTCCTGAGGAAGCAGACACTGGTGGCTCCAGGTATCCAGGACAGCTGGGGACAGCAGGGGTAGTACTGGACCAAGACAGCAAGACATGGCAGGAACAGGATTGGGCCCAAGAGAGAAGGGGAACTACAGATGGGGGACAGTGCTGGATGCAGCGTGCAGAGGGGCAGCAGACAGGACAGACGGACACACACAGTCCTCTGGCTCTGAACTGGCACCAGTCCGTCTCAACACCAGGCCCTCTTGCTGCCCAGCCCAGCGCTCACCCTCTGACCTCCTTGGGGTCAAGGCTGGCAGAGGATGCTGGTGACATGTATGAGGTGTGTATGTCCACCTCCTGCCGGGCTGGCCCCAGTGGTCCCAGGGCCACCATTGGCAGAGGTGGGGCCCTGCTCACCCCAGCACTCGGGCGGCTCACTGTGGGGAGGGCACTCGGCCGGGACCCTGCTTACCTGTGAGGCCTCCCTGACACCAGACTGAGCCACAGACACAGACGCCGCGGGAGACACGGAGACAGAGCGAGAGGAAACACGGGGGAGGACAGAGACCAGTGAGAAGCAGGTGGCATGGGACGGGCTGCATGCACCGGAGCTTCCCGGGCCAACACACACCCTCCCCCCCTGCAGCAGGAAGCCTGGAATCAGCCAGAGTGGAGAGCTGGGACCCCTGCCCGGTAGTTACAGAGAGGGCACATGCAAGGTGGGCCACCTGACACACCTCTTTCCTGCAAGAGCCAGGCATGCCAATGGTCTGTGGAGGGCCAAGCCGACCCCAACGGTGGCTGGATGGTCAGCTTTCTCAACCTGGACCCTTCTCAACCCGGAAGCCCCTGCTGTGCCTGCTGGGCTCTGTGACTGGGCCACCTTCTGTCACCAGAGCCCAAGCACCTGTCTGTGTGCCCACACCTAGGTGCACCCTCCCTCACCCCCCAAGCACTCACTTGTCCAGATCAATGTCCAGGGCCCTGTAGGGATCGTTGGGGTCTTTGTCGTCCTCGTCACTGGGCAGAGCGTTCTGAAGGGAGGGGTGGGAGGGGCTCATGGGCAACACAGCCAAGACCCTTGGGTTACATGGCCTGACTCACACTGTTGGGGGGGGGGGGGCCCCCCTGGGGGGGGTGGGGTGGGGGGGGGGGGGGTATGTCCAAGGTGGGCTCAGGGCGGACAGAATGGGTGTACCTCAGGCATCTCCTCGGTGACAATGTCCACCTGCTGGGCAGGGGCGATGTCCTCATCGCTCTCTGTATGCAGCGAGCTGTGGCGCCGATGCCGGCCCTCACGCCGCTTCTCCTTCTTCTGCTTCTTCCGCTTCCGGTCCTTCTCCAGCCGCTGCCGGTGCTGCCGCTCCTGCTCCAGTTTCACGTACTGATCGGAGGCTGGCATTCCTGTGAGGCGGGCGCAGCCCTGAGCACCAGGGCAGGGGGGCAAATGCACACAGGCTGTCCTCCCACAGGGCATAGTCCATGAACCCTGACACACTCACCTGGGACTTTCAAGGGGACGGAGAGGTCGATCTGGACCACAGGGATGTGCTCCACACCCGGTGCATCCTGGTACCGCTGAGGGCAAAGACTGGGTTAGCGTGGACTACACAGGATGTGCTGCAGGAGCCGGTAGACACCTGCTGGAGAGCTAGCTGTGGCACCAATGCCTTAGGTGGATGGGGGAGTGAGGCCCATGTGGGGGCACTGTGAGTTGGGGCTGGACACTCTCACCTTCTGTGGGGACGGGGAGCTCTTGATATAGAACGGGTTGTTGGCCTGCTCCTGCTTCCGGGCTTCTCGACGCTGTGGGGGGACAGATTGGTGGCAAGCCAGTCACCACTCGAGGGGCTACGCTGGGTTGAGGGAAAACCCTATGCTGTCCCCAAGCACGCCCTCCCCCCCACCCTACCTCCTTAGCCCTGAGCCTGGGATGGGGCAAAGCAAAGCAAAAGCTCAGAGCAAGGGGCAGCTCTCCTCCCGCCTCCACAAGGAAGAAGACTGGGGAGGGTGGCTTCCTTCAGGCAGAAGGGAGATCATGATGGGGGCCAGAGGGACAGCGTTCTCAGCTCTGGGCAGAGGGACTCAGGGGTCCTTCCAGTGACCTCCCCGCATCTGACACTGAGAACACAGCAGGACATCCAAGCGCCAACAGAGGACGTCAAGGTACCGCTGTGAGGTTTCAGGGGTACTGTTTGCACAGCAGCCCTGCTCGACCACATGCCACAAGCCCAGCCCCAGCCGCCACTCGCTGAATGCCCCTGCAAGAGGCAGAACCCACAGGGCAGAGCTCGATGGAGTACACACAGCCCGTTTCAGGTGTCGGGGCTACCTCCCAGGGCCTCAGACCGCGCTGCCTCCTAGGCGTGGACAGTGGGAGAGCACCTGCCTGCCCCGGCGCTCACCCGGGCCAGCTCCTCCTCATCGGCCTCTGGCTGCCGGTGCCGCGACGCCTTGTGCTCCTCATCATGGAAGATGGCCTTGGGCGCCTCGTCCTCTGACTCGCTGTCCGAGGGTGGCTCGTTGATCCAGGCGTCCAGGTCCAAGCTGTGGGAGAGAGACCGTCCCACTGAGGTCCATGCTTGCTGTGCACCTCCACGCAGTGCTACACGCCCACTACAGGCCGCTAGCAGATCTATCAGAACGCAGTGTAGCACCCAGCACGGGGGCCCACTCGGATGCGGACAGATGGGGTTAGCACAGGGTTTGTGTGTGGGGTCTGTGTGTGTGTCTGTGTTGGTGGTGGTCCGCCCTCCTCCTCCCATCACAGACAGGGATCCGTGGCTTAGGACAGCTCTGAGGACAGGGTAGGTGCAGGAGCCCCAGGCTCAACACAGGTGGGCTCAGGGCCCCTTGTCCCCCTGCCACCCCTTGGAACCGCAGGCCCTGTAAGCAGATTCCTGGGGCTGGGGCATCAGATGGCCGTGTGGGCTCACCCATCTGGGATGGGGACCTTCTTCTGGGCCTTGGGGGCCACTGGGTTCAACTCGCCAGCAAAGAGGGCGCTGACTTCCTCCGCCACCGGCACCTCCTTGGCCTGGAGCTTCTGGATGTACTTAACCAGTTGCAGGATGCAGGAGGCCTGCAGGGGCGACGAGCCACATGGTCGGTCCCAGAGCACCTTGCTGCTCCCCACAGGGGCGCCATGCCCATCGACACCCCTACGGTGTCCGTCCATTCCATGGGCCCACCACTCTCACCCCCCACCCGGCCCCACCTCACCCGCTCTTGGACCTCCAGGTCAGCACTCTGCACAAACTGAGGCAGCCTGTCCACCAGGAGCTGGGTGGCGGCCTGGGCGGCCTCGTGCTCCCCTGCCTGCTCCTGCTGCTGTAGGACAGACGCGTACAGCTTGACCACGTTCTGCACATACACCGCCTGGATGTGGCCGGGCAGCGTGGTGACCTTGGGCCGCAGCATGGCCTCCAGTGTCTGCTGGGGCTCCTGCAGGTGCCTGTGTGAGAGGACGCATACACTGCGGGAGCCCCACCACCTTGCCTCCTGGGCAGCCCTAAGCACGTCCCAACTCTCCCCAACCCAAGGTCCGAGGGCACTCAGGACACACAGGTATCCCGCCAGGCCCCCTGGGGAGGTGACTCAGGAAGAAGTCACCATGTGAGCAGCTGAGCCCACCCTCCCCAGGCCCCTCTCTCCATCTGGACCACTCTTTCAGAGAATCACCCCACTCACTTGGAGAAACTGAGATACTCAAACCTCATCCACTCAGGGAGGTCCTGTCCCCCTGCTCCACCTGTACCTGGCCCCTCACTGGGAGAGCTCCCCGTGGCCCACCTGCTGCCCCAGCCCCCACTCACTGGGAGAACTCCCCGCAGATCCAGGCGGCAGCATAGAGCACCTCACAGATGCCATTGCGCTGGGTACTGCTGGTGACCAGGTGGGCGCTGTCCAGGAGTGCCGACATCTGTGCCACAGCGAACTTCCGGATAGCCTTCACTCGAATGGCCACATCCAGCATCTGGGCCGCGATGAGGTGGCCGTGCCGGGTACCCTCCAGCCTCGTCAGCTCCACCAGGATGCTGATGTACCTGCAGCAGGAGGGCGGGCGGACGTCAGAATCTCAACCAGGCAAAGGCCTAAATCCCAGAGGGGCGGGAGGGCATGCGTGTGACCAAGGGAGCACAGGGCACCACTGGGACGTGATGCGGTTCACATGTGCCCATGACATGGACACTCCGCACTAGTAACACCCACACAGCCAACTCTGAGTGGTGGTGGCTCCCAGGGTTCTGGGTGGCCCCGCAGGTAGCCTGCTCATCACCAGAGCCAGAAGGATGAGATGTTTGCGTTCACCCCAAGGACTCTCGGAAGAAAGCCTTGTGGCTAACCCACTTCACAGCCACTGAGCACCCCATGGCGGGAACAGCTCAGTTCTGCCACGGGCAGGGCGGGTGCAAAGCCAGCGCAGCAGGGGTAGCATGTCCCCAGAGAGGCAAGTGAAGCCAAAACTGCTCTAAATCAAAAACGTGCATGAGACGGGCCACCCTCTTGAAATGGGGGGCCTCTACGGCGTGGGTGTGTGGGGCACCCCCACGGTAGAAGATGTCCTAGCAGCTGGACAATTCCATGAGGAGCGATGTATAGATCACTACGGTTGGAATGACAGAGAGGTTTTCAGATGTGCGGATGTTCTAAACCCAACCAAACAGTGTTGAGTCCAGTCCGACTCTCGGCAACCCTGCGGGGCAGCGCAGGACTAGCCCGTGGGAGTGCCAGGCTGTCCATCTTCACAGGCGCAGACAGCCTCATCTCCCTCCCACCGAGTGGCTGACCCAGCCCTCAAGCTCTGTGCAGCAGGCTCCACCAGATTTGCTGGCGGTGGGCCTGTGTTCTGGGGTGGGCAGCGGCCATACCACTCGAAGTTGGTGATGTACTGGTAGTTGGACTGGCTGCAGATGTCGATGATTTTCGTGAGGAGCTCGTCCCGGTAGGTGGTGCCCTCTGCCTTATCCACATGGGTCATCAGCTTTTTCACAATCTCCATCAGGTTCTTTTTAGACACCTGGGGGGGGGGGAGCGGGTGTTGCATGAGGGGGAGGGGCAGGGAGCCCCTACCTGCTATTGGCAGAGCCCCGCAGTCAGAGCTGGGGTGCCGGGGAGACACAGCACCACACAGCAAAGCCCATGGTGATGATTTCCCAAGAAGGATTTGTGGGACATGAGTCTGGAAGGGGGATCATCCTTGCACAGACCCCCGGCTAGTACAGCATGGCACGGCCCTCACATCTACAAGTGTTCCAGGGGGCTCAGATGGGCCCATTTTACAGAAGTGGGTCAAGAAGGGTTGGGGGCATACTTCATACCATATAGCAAGTTGAGAGGACTGGAGAGGAGTAGGGTAGGTGGTGAGGGCGGGTGTTGGGTGAGAGGAATAAGGCAGAGGTAGGGGGACGACGCACCAAGCCGTAGAGCAGGTTGAGGGGAGCGGGGAGGAGCGAGGTGGGTGGGGCAGAGGGGACGACGACGCACCATTCCGTAGAGCAGGTCGAGGGCACGCAGTCGGATGGACTCGTCCTTGTCGTCCAGGCACTGCAGAATGAGGTCCTTGTGGGACTGCACGGATTTGGGGTGCGTCTTCAGGATCTTGGACATAGCCAGAAGGCCCAGGTACTTCACTGTGGGGTGACATGGGGTTGTAAGGCTGTGGGGGCTGGCGCCAGCCTGGAACAGCTCTGCCCGGATGGATGAGCCCAGCCCAGAGTGCCTCCAGTCGCCTGTCCCTGGGCCAGGAGAGGTGTCACCACCTGCCTGTCATCAGAACTGCCCACAGAGGGCGCCACTGCAAGGACGAGGGCAGCCAAGGGTTGAAGTCAAGCCAAGTACATGACAAACTACAGGTAAATCCAACCCACGGCCCGTTTGGTGGATAAAGCACAAGCAGCTCAAGTTCTAGGCCAAGTGGCCCTCACTAGGGGAACACCCTGCCCCTCACCAGGTTTCCTCCAGCAGGGATCAACTTACAGTTCTGATCGGAATCTTCTATCAATATCCGCAACTTCTGGACACAAAGCTGCAAGAGAAGGTGGAGGTGGGCCTCGGCCCTGCACACACAGCTGCCAGGAGAGCACCCCTGCTGAGCACCGTGCTGAGGCCTCCTGTGTAGTGCCCAGGGGAGGTGGTGACAGGAGAAACACAAGAGGTG